AAGGAACGAAGGAATGAAAGAAGGAACGAAGGATGGAATGAATGAAAGAAGGAAGGAATGAGAGAAGAAAAGAAGGAATGAAAGAAGGAAAGAATGAGAGAAGAAAAGAATGAATGAAAGAAGGAAGGAATGAAGTAAGGAAGGAAAGAAGGGGTGAAAGAAAGTTGAGATATTTTTGCCTTCTCGCTTTAGAAAATACACGGCTCTTTAACTTGTGTGTGTGTGTGTGTGTGTTTATCTATGTACACATGAATATATGTAAGTAACTGTTCTGTACGCAAGTAAAAGTGAGTGAAAGTGAAGTAGACACAATGTTTATGTATATCTATGATCTTGTCCGTGTGTGTGTGTGTCTGTGTGTGTGTGTGTGTGTGTGCGCGCGCCACCATGATTACAGACATACAGACACACCACATTGTTCACCTGTTATAGTGAAGGAAGAACACGCACAGAACATTTCACACCTGACTCGTTAATTAATGCGAAGGTAGACATATGACTTGGGTCTGGTTCCCGAGTCAGGTTTGGTCTGGTTTTGTGAGTCGACGTGTTGTTACGCCCTTTTTGAGTGACCCAACGCAACCTGTCTGTCTGTCTGTCACTTCGTCTGATGAAATCTATTTAGGTAATCACTGTCAATACATTCTGTCATTTTATTTGTTTATTATTATTTCAGTGTGTCTCTTTTTCTCTCTCTATCTTCCTATCCATCTCTCTCTCTCTCTCTCTCTAGGTATGAATCTCTCTTCTTTCTCTTTCACCGTATCTCTCTATCTCTACCATCTGTCTTATCTCCACACCTGTCTTATCTCCACACCTGTCTATCTCCACACCTGTCATATCTCCACACCTGTCTATCTGTTCATCTAAATAAATATCCAAGAGAGAAATGTGAAAAACTTTTAAAAGTAACTAAAATCTCTCACTCACTCTCTCCTCCCTCTCCCTCCCTCCCTCTTCCCTCACCCTCTCTCTCCTCCCTCTTCCCTCACCCCTCTCTCCCCTCCTCTTCCCTCACCCCTCTCTCCTCCCTCTTCCCTCACCCTCTCTCCCTCTACCTTCCCTCAGCACTCCTTTCCTCCCTTGCCTCCCCCACCACCACGGAACAGTAACCTACCTCAGGTGACAGTGAAAGGATTACCTGTTTGCTTGTTACTTAAATGTATCTAATTATTTATCCAAGTAAGTGATTTTTTTTCTTTAGTTTCTGTTCAGGTGTGAAACGAAATGTTGAGTTTCATTAATATTTATATGGTATTTTGTGTGTATGTGTGTCAAGTTATTGTCACGGGTTAATGGTGTGGTTTTAACAGTTATTAACAACACACAACACGAGGTTAATTTCTCAAAGAGTTATAACTTAAACCATCGTTCTCTAAAGGTTAAGGGAGTAACTACCACTGTTTTTTCCTGGTTGTCTGTCGTTCCTTTAGCATTTAGTGAACTCATCGTCTCTTTAGCTTTTATGAATCACACACAAACACACACACACACACACACACATACACACACACATAGAGTTATCGCTCGTTTACTTCTGTTTCATAATTACTGTATTGTTTATTTTATTATGTATCGTAATTATCGTTGTTGTGGAGTAATTATCAATATGGCAATAGTTGTTCATTTAAGCTTTTTGTGATTATTATTATTATTTTAGTTATATAGTTTACTTATCATATTCAGTTATATACCATAATTATTCTTCTCTTTACATTAAACAATCATTATTTAACTACTGTATTTAACATTACTGTCTTATAATTTTTATCATTATTGTCTAAGTAAAGTCTCCATTTATTTTAGTTTTATCTGCCTTCACTCTCCACTAACTTGTAAAAAAACACGACCATAGATCTCTCTTTAACTCATTCTTGTGGGTGGATTAACGACAACAAGTCCTTCCTTCTGCTACTAATTAAATATTTCCGTTAAACACAAGAACATCATAAATTAAGTTATTTGTTATTGATAAACTTTTACTTTTTATCTTCTTCACCGATAATATTACTGAGTGGTGTGTGGCAGACGCTTTAACAGTAAGCCGACCAACGTTTTCTCAGGGCGGATGGGAAATAATTTGAAACGTTTGCATCAGCCGGTCGCCTTTTGATGTCAATGGTGTTCAAGATGTTAATATTATAAAGAGGTGGAGTTTATTGGTGTTTTGTGTCGATAATTGTCGCTTAGGTGTTACTTATGGTCGCCTAGAATGTGTGTGGAAGATGTTTTATTTAAGTGACGGTCTGATCTGTCTGGCGCCAAAACTCGGAAAATATAAATAAGTTTCGTATATAATTAATAATCGACTATTTGATTATCTTTTAATTGTTAATGAACACTCACAGCTTCCTCCTGCATCTCCCTCGTCGATTCATCTTCATTATCAAAGTTCCCCAAAGTTCCAGGAGGTAGAGTTAGTCTCACCGCAGAGACAAGCACTAAGGCAGATACACTTCTTTCCCCTTTGAGGTACACACAGCCACTGGATGCTCCTCGGCGCTTCCACCCGTATATATGAAAGGCCACCACTACCTGAAGGAGGGAATCCCGGCGTGTTAGAGGGAGGAGGTGTGGTGGTGGTGTTCAAGGTTGCGCAGTGTGAGTCTTACTTTCTCTCTCACGCGCATTCCCCATCCACCTCCCCCACCTTCGTCAACACCTTTTCTTTACTACTTAATCTTCTCAGGGTCTTCGTCACTTGTCAGCTTACTGGCAGGTCGAGCGGTCGGTCAGTTGTGTGTTGCTTCATGTACTGACTCGTCATGTTCCACACTTCCCTAAACGGTCAAGTCTAGACCTCACACGTGGTACTGTCAGTCCACTCGCTGGCAAGCTGTCTGTACCGAGAGCTTTACCTATGAGGCGCTTGTCCACGTACATTAAACCTCCTCTGTCCTTCTGTAGTATAAACTGATTAAACGTTGTAGTATCTTCTGGTAAGAGAGGTATAGGAGTGTCCAGGTGAGTAGTGGCTCATCAGTAGACGTTATTGGTCAGTTGGCAGTCCTTCTCGGGAGACTCTCAGTACAGTACCCCATGCGTTACACCTCCATCAACCTATTAAAAGCAGTTCATCAAGGATCTTCATGTTCAACCATCTAGTTTGTTATTAACATTATTAATTTTTTCTTCAGTTTTAACAATAATCCAACAATTTGAGATCTTTGTTAATATAAATTTCTACATCTTTATCACGTTTAGTTTTAGTTAGGGGAAAATGTCTATGTTCTATTGAGACATGTGGTAAGTCTTCTTACTGTGACCACGACCATCGTCCATCATCCTCTTGTGAGTCTTGACAGTTCTTAGCATTTTTAACCACTGATTAACCTAACCCAACCTCCCTCATTAACCTAACCTAACCTAACCTAACCACTGATTAACCTAACCTAACCTAACCTAACCCAACCTCCCTCATTAACCCAACCTCCCTCATTAACCTAACCTAACCTCCCTCATTAACCTAACCCAACCTCCCTCATTAACCTAACCTCCCTCATTAACATAACCTGCCCTCTGTGATTAACTTACCGTCACCAGGAAACATTTGTACACCGTCTGGTATATTGTGTACACGAGACAAACAACTTGAGGACACCACACGGACGAGTTGAAGCCTTTGTTTACTGCATTGTTTACCACCCTCAAGACAGTCTACAGTCCATAATACAGCGTCGTGTATTTATGTATTCTGTAACTTATCGAATAAAATCACTATCAGATACCTCAGTAAAGTTAAAGAAAATAATGTAAATCTTACCACCATGTCTCCAGCAGCTGTGTTAGGCAGGAAAATCCCGGCATAAATCAGTGGTGGTATGCCTTGGTATGTTGTTCTGTTGGGCATCTCTGTTGTAGACCTGTCAGGGCATCTCTGTTGTAGACCTGTCGGGGCATCTCTATTGTAGGTCTGTCGGGGCATCTCTGTTGTAGACCTATCGGGGTAGGTGTTGTAGATCTACCGGGGCATGTGTTGTAGGCCTGTCGGGGCATCTCTGTTGTAGGTCTGTCAGGGCATCTCTGTTGTAGACTTATCGGGGCATGTGTTGTAGATCTGTCGGGGCATGTATTGTAGACCTGTCGGAGCATCTCTGTTGTAGACCTACCGGGGCATGTGTTGCAGGCCTGTCGGGGCATGTGTTGTAGACTTGTCGGGGCATCTCTATTGCAGGTCTGTCAGGGCATCTCTGTTGTAGACCTGTCGGGGCATCTGTGTTGTAGACCTGTCAGGGCATGCGTTGTAGACCTGTCAGGGTATTTCTCTTGTAGACCTGTCAGGGCATCTCTGTTGTAGACCTGTCGGGGCATGTGTTGTAGACCTGTCAGGGCATGCGTTGTAGACCTGTCAGGGTATTTCTCTTGTGTGTCAGGCATCTCTGTTGTACCTGTCAGGGCATGTGTTGTAGACCTGTCAGGGCATCTCTGTTGTAGGTCTGTCAGGGCATCTCTGTTGTAGACTTATCCGGGGCATGTTGTAGACCTGTCAGGGCATGTGTTGTGACCTGTCGGGCATCTCTGTTGTAGATCTATCGGGGCATGCGTTGTAGACCTGTCAGGGTATTTCTGTTGTAGACCTGTCGGGGCATGCATTGTAGACCTGTCGGGGCATGCGTTGTAGATCTGTCAAGGCATGCGTTGTAGACCTGTCGGGGCATGTGTTGTAGACCTGTCAGGGCAGCTCTGGCATAACATGTGTTGCAGTTATCAATTGGTCATCTCTCTGCCCTCGTCTTTAATTCCTTTGTTTACCTTGTTATATCAATATGGTCCACCACAAACACTATTACATATTTATATAACAGGTACAGTATATACAATGTGCTGTGTATGCGTGTACCGAGCAGAGGTCCTCCCCACCTGCTATGTGGCAGTGAGACATGGGTCACAAATCAAGCCACTCGAAAACTTTTACCACCATAGTCTACGTTCCATCCTCCGAGTTCGCTGGGAAGACAAGAGAACAAATGCCAGTATTCTCGCTGACACCAACTGTAGGAGCATCGAGGCTACCATTATCCATGAACAACTACGCTGGACTGGCCTTGTTACCTGCATGGACGACAGTAGACTGCCAAAGCAGCTACTTTACAGTCACATAACGAATAGTAAACGTAACACTGGCGGGCAAGTGTAAAGGTATAAGGATAGTCTTAAGACAAACCTGAAAAAGTGCCAAATTGACCCCCTCACCTGGGAGACGATTACTCCACACCGTAACGCTTGGAGGAGCACCACACAAGAAGGTGTCAATACTTTCGAGTGAGCCCGACTGCATAACAAGGCAGACAAGCGCCAACGCGGGAAAGACACTGCCGCCGCCCCTCCCGCACTAGGTGTAACCCTCCACATGTGCAACATCTGTAGTCGACTTTGCCGGTCCCGTATCGGCCTCTTTAGTCACCTCAGAACTCACCAACGTAGGTGACATCCTTAATAACTCATATCATTGTATCATAGCTGGATGATCGTCAAACTCGATTCCGAGTGACAGCAAAGTAGTAGTAGTATAATTTGCATGATAATCAGTGGGCAACAAAGTAATATTTACTTCATGTTACGTTGAATAAATCATATTTAACATGAGTAAAGTTTAATGTACAAGTTCTTATCATGTTGGGTGGGCGTAGAGTCTCTTGACCCACCAACCTTATGTAATGGTTTACTGCTGTAGGGAGTTATTGGTGATATTTGGAACTAGTTCTAGTCACCAGTCATGGCGGGGGGCGGGGGGGTCGGTTAAAATAGCATTAAATTCAAAACTAACACTATTGAGCGTCAGTTACTGTGAGGTCGTGTGTGTGTTTGTGTTGGTCCGCTGCTCTTCAACTTCCTCACTAGTTTTATTTAATTTTTTTTATGGATTTTACACAGAATGTCTTATACCGTTCGGGGTGTATTGAGACATGTCCCTGTACGGTGTGTGAGTAAATACCGTGTTACGTTGTGTGTGTGTGTGTGATCCTTCAACCCAACCTAACCTAACCTAACTTAACCACACCTTACGACCAGACCACCGCCAGTCCAGCTCACCTGTTAATGGGAGCTCAGTGTTAAGTATAGAAAGAGAAAGTTCTTGGTCAGGGAAAAAGTACCTTAGTTTCGAGCAGTGAGTCGTGGGTGTTCCGTGTGCCTCTTTGAGTTGACCTCTGACCCCCTCGTTGTCCTGATATTCAAGAGTAACCACAAAGATTATACTGTATGCAACTAACCTAACCTAACCCAACCCAATTCAATCCAACCAAACCCAACCCGACCCGACCCGACCCGACCCAACCCGACCCGACCCGACCCGACCCGACCCGACCCGACCACACCACATACTCTTGGGTACACGGAGAGGCAAGAGCCCCAGTTAACCCCTTGCATACTATGACCTTTTCAACTGAGTAAAACAACATTATACTCAAGAGGTTTATGAACTATTAGACTTAGTAATATGAAGGAATTAATGTTTGTTGGTGTGGTCTGAGTGAGTGAAGGTTGATGGTCGCTGAGTTTGTTGTGTTTAGTTGACCATAATGTACCAGGGATTATGTAGATATATTATTAACTGTAGGCATTAAATGTATGGATGTGAAAGGTGCTGTGCTGTGCTGTAGTGTAGTGTCCAGCTCGACACCGGAAAATAAATAATAAAAACTTTTCCCCTCTACAAAACAAGTGACCCAGTGTTGTGTTGTGTTGTGTTGTGTTGTGTTGTGTTGTGGATGAAAGCCATGAATTATTGTTGGTAATTAGGATGAGTTAGAGGAAGTTTACACCTGTGGCATCTTAAATAGACAATTTCACCTGGCGTTTTGGGCTCATTTGGAGGGAAAGAAAGTGAAAATCTTGTGCCAGACACCTACACTAGCGGACAGTTATTGTGAGTTATGTATTGTGTGTGTAGAGGCGTTTGGCTCTCGTTACCTTGGTTAAGAAACATTAATATTAACGGGTAAGGTTGTTAGGCCTATCGTTGTAAAAGGTTAGACTACACAGCGATCTTCCTGTTGATGTATGAGGATAAGGTATCGTCTGTGAGCCTCAGACTATATACGGTGCGGGTAGTCATGGTGTCCTCTCCCTTAGCTAGTGACTGTTGTGGGTAGTGGTGGGTCCTCAGGTGTATCATGCACAGAACAACACAACAAGGTTAACGTGGGGAGCGACAATCACCGTTCACTCAGTCCACACTAAATATTGCCAACACCAACAGGGAAAAAAAACTCCACAACCAACAAACATTAATTCCTTCATTATAATATTACTACGTCTAATAGATCAGTAATCTCTGCGACTGTTGTTGGGTTACGGGCCGAAGATCCTGTTCCCCTGATGAGACAAAACATTGCAGACCTGAGTAGAGAGAAGGGCAGGTGATATATCAACTGGGCTGCAACTTAGCTTCTGGGCTGTTGCTTCTGTTCTGATAAGACCTCAACCAGCTTGGTGTATAAGCATCTTGCATTTGGTCCCATCCCACTAGAGGATTGAACTGCCTTGATCCTCGTTCTG